TCTGGAATCAGACTGCCTGGGTTCAATTTCAGGCTCTAAATTCAAGCTATGTGATCAACACTTCTTAACCTGCTTGCTTATCTGGGAAAAGAAGATAATAACAAACCTGTATCATAGAATTTTTTCCTGAGGATTAAATGCAAAAATTCACATTAAACACACAGCACAGTGGTTTGGCATGTATAGTAAATACTCAATAAATGATATGTTGATTATTATTATTACAGTAGAAGCTGTGTTAGCTCTTCTCAGATTAAGACTTTTAGCTAATAATTAGATGGTACACATTTATAAAAATATATATTTTAAAATTTCAGTTTCTTCTCTTTTATATCAGTTTAAGATAATTGGCATCTGCATGAAAAAAGCAAATTAGAAATCTTTATTTCAGAATCCCTAGCTTTGTTCTTTTTTGTAAATTGACTCTGCTTTTCCAACCATGAAAATGACAGCATAGTTGGTGCATTTAACCACAGTGACTGACTCATAATAGCTGCACAAGAAATGTGAAAGAATGAAAGAATAAGATAATGAATAAATGAATAAACTGATCCTGGAAGCCGGGCTGCCAGACTACACTCCCCAAACTGGCAGAAGCTGTGAGCCTTTGCTTCGCTTTCTAGATATCTGTGTCAGCTGCTACTCCCATATGCTGGCTAGATTTGGGGCTAATGTAGACTCTTTTGTGTCCTCCATACTCCAGCCCCATCCCCTAATTTCAGAGTTGCTTGTCTACTTTTTTGGTGGACTTTTAATGGTTCTTTTAATCTATATTCAGGCAGAGTAACAGGCATGAGGAATGTATGATGTAAAAGGTGCCAAAAACACATACTAGGCAAAAACAAAACAAAACAAAACAAAAAAAAACGTCTCTTCCAGCAGTCTGGGTCAGGGCTTCTTGCTGGAGAATATTCAGTTGTTTTAAGGCATCTTGCAGCCACCGGTGGCACCTGGAAGAAGGAGTCTCCAAAAGCTGCTATCACTCCTTAGCAGGTTTACACAATTCATTGAACAGATTGAATAGTTTAACAGATTAGTCCTTGAACCAGATTTTGAGAAAAGATGGCAGTTACGTGTTAGCAGAGCAAAAAGAGAAAATCAAATTCTGGGGCATGGAACATTTAGCCAAAAGAAATACAGTTGCGGCGGCCAAGCCAAAAGGTAGGGCTCTGAGCAACAAGAAGACCACACAGCTGGGTGGGAGGAGCTGATGGAAAGACAGATGTGAGTGCAAAACACAAACCTCTCACCTTCTTCATCCTAGAGCTGGTCATGCATGTTTCAGGAGAGCATAAAGATTAAAGGCCTCTCACCTCGTCTTGTTCTCATTTCACATGCCGTAACAAAATGTTTTTTCGGGCCCTATCATGGGAAGCTACTTTTTTACAAAAGTAAAAAGTATGTAATGGAGATTTTCCTTCTTTCATTCTCAAAGTCTCCATCATCTTTTGAGTAAAGCATGGAATTGCCTAAGCCAAGCTATTCTGCCATTCCCCAGATGGATGCAAGAAACTGACTTACGAAAAGGCTGACACACGACCACTGAGTTTAAAGCACCGTGACACCAAAGTGATCAAGTCAAGAAAATAGAAAGACATTTTCATTGAAAAGGAGAAAAATCTGCACCAAAAACACATGTGGCTGAATTACATCCAATGAACAGCCTCTGCAGATTTTATTCTTTGACTTTAATAATATTTTAAAATTTTTAACAAAATATAAAAATCAAAATTGTCATTTTTTGAAGTTTGCTTTGTCATGGAATTCTTTAATATTCAATCTAGGAATTAGCAGAACTAGAGTACTTAGTATTTTACTATAAGGTATGACCAAATAATTTTTGAGAGTAACAAAAAAAGAAAAAGAACTTCCTACAACTGGATATTCCTAAAGACGGCTCACCTCCTGCAAACTCAATGAAAGGGCACCATACCAATACACTAATGCAATTGCAGCTATGATTTACATTTACTTCATAACTTTTGCAAATCTAAGGAACTGGTGATATAGGCAATATAAAATAGTAGATAAGCTAAAAATAGGCCGCGATACATTTTTTTACTTGATGTTGGTGAAGTAGACAATCAATAATACGCAAGAATTCAAAACTGATCAAAATGCAATGCAGGAGGGGTGCATACCTGGAAAACACCTATTTTGGATCAGACAGAACTAAATACAAATTCTATTTTTTTGGCCACAACTGGCTACGTAACAAGTTACTGAGTATCTGCAAGCCTTAGCTTCCTCAACTATAAACAGGAATTGCACTACTTCATTCTCCAATTAAAGAGACAACATGTGTTAATCAGCAGGTTGAGTCTATGAGTGAGTAACACACGGTCACTATATTCCAAAAAGAGTCACCCTGGCTCATTCCTTTTGACCCTGTCCTTGAGATTGAGCTCCTTAACATGCCTGCTCCATAGTAAGGTGAGCAGCATCTGGCCTTGGATTTTCACAGACCCACAGCCTTAAAACACTCTCTCTTCCATCTCACTTTCCATCATATTTGCAACCTATTTAAGTGTATTAGTGACATATAAGAACTAAGGATATCATCATCTTGAAGGGTTTTAAGCTTAAAATACTAATAAATTTTATTTTCATAAACAGGGTTTAAAGAAGAGGCAAACAATTGATTGCTGCTTTTGTTTTCTACCTGCATTCTCACAGACTTGAATTACATTAAAATCCAGCTGTAGGCATCAGAATTCAAAAACATTTTCACACAAATGCGCTCCCTTCGGGCGCCTAGTTTCTGCTACTCCTATTTATTTTGGGTAAACATTCCACACTCCAGAATTTGATTCTCTCTTTGCTCTGCCAACATGTAACTGCCCTGTTTTCTCAAAATCTAGTTAACGGACTAATGTGTTAAACTATTTAATCTGTTCAGTGAATTGTGTAAACCTGCTAGTGAGTGATAGAGGCTTTTGGGAGCTCCTTCTTCCAGATGCCACTGATGGTCTACTGAGATGCCTTAACACAACTTCTCTAGCTAGAGGTCCTACCTAGGCTGCTGGAAGAAAAGTTTTTGCCTAGTGAGTGTTTCTGGCAACTTTTACATCATCATAAATTCCTCATGCCTGTTACTCTGCCTGAATATAGATTAAAAGAACCATTCAGAGCCCACCAAAAGAGTAAAAGTAAAAAGAAGCAAGGTTTGTTGACTCAGCGAAAGTCTGAAATCACCTTGGACTTGGCTTATCTCCCTTCCATCCTCTTTGTCCTTATCTATGCTCCACCTCCTCCTGAAAGCTGCCAGATTCTGACTGTATTTTTGACCCTGGTTCTTCTGAAATTCTTGTGCAATGCGTTTGTTACTTTCTTCTGCTCTTGCAATTTCCTCTGATATTCTTTCAAAACGTTTTCTTATGAAATTGTCTTATTCACCCAGTGTAGACTGGCTACACTGGGTGAATAAGACAATTTTAGAACAGAGGACTCCCATTCTTTCCTGTTTTGTATTTTATCTAAAGCCAAGTTAAATTCAGAACCACCTTCTGTTTTTAAATTTTGGTTATACATCAGTATGTCTTAGTAACATCCACTGTTTGGCTAATCCAACCTATTTTTTTCTTCCATTAATTGATACAGATCTGAATCGGGAAGTGGTCTTCTGGTGGACTTTCCAGAAGTACAAAATATTTATTCCAGCCACAGAGGTTTGTATAGCTTTACATCTTGCCTTCAATATTTATGTCCTCTATTGGTGAGAAAGTCTGAAAATGTCCTAATGTTCTTGTGAGTTAAGGATACCTCAAAAGCTGTTTCGATAAGGTGATTTTCCTACTCCACATTTGCTTAACTTCATGCATGCAATCTAGTATCCTGTTTAAGAAGATACTGTCTGTGGATGAGATAGAAGGCTGGAACCAAATTGACTTACTAAATCTTCAGGCAGCAAACAAAGACTTTCTGTCTGAGCTCTGTACCACAAACACAAATAACCCCAAACCCTCATATTCATGTTAATAAATCCGAAACTACCTTCTGTTGAACACTGACAATGCCTGTCTTTTCCTAGCCCTTGAAAACAACTAATTATGTGTGTAATTCTCACCAAGTTATTACCCTTTGCCTTATCAGGAAATGCTTTCTGCTCTGTCATCTGGTTTAGTCAGTGTGTTTTTCTTGGAAAGTTTCTGTTTTTGTGTCTCTTGTACCCCCAGAAGACTCACTCTTGGGCCCGGCACACCAGATTTCTTCCCAAGTGCAGAGGAAGGGCTCTGTGGCCCCTGCAGAAGAACCACAGCTGTGGCTGTATGACTTAAGAACTGAAGGGAGAACATTCAGCTCCCACTGACTATTCTGGGATGTTTGAACGACTCAGTAACCATTATTCATTAAAAAGTAGGTTCCTGCTATACTTCTGTTCAGAGAAATCTACAGGGTGCCCATATGTGAGGCAATTTGGTTACAAATCATACCTGCTCTGCAAAGCACCTACCCTTGTGGCTTTTGATTTAAGACCTATTGGAAACCAATGTTTCATTTTGTTCCATCAATTGGCATATTATTGAATATGGCAGGCCTCTCCTAAATGACGTTTATTCGGACCCCTTGTTCAACCCTACTTTCAGCTCCTGTATGATGACTGCCTATTTCTTTGAGGCTTCCCAGGATCTCCTAAAGTGATTCTTATCATATGCCACATAACCCAAATTCTAAGTCAGATCTTCCTAAAAAATACCTTCCAAATTTTGTAGAAGTCTATCTAAGAATCTTCACATGATACCCACAAATAGAAAGCTCATTTTACTTAAAAGCAAAAGCCTGTGGGGCTAAAAGTGTTTTTCTAGTGGCCTGGCCTCCTCCACAGGACGGGGAAGAGAACAGACCTATAATGCAGCAGATACGGTACTAGCTGCCTTCTATAATTATTCCCACATTTTCTCACAGCAAACTTATGGATTATAATGTTAGCCCCATTTTGCAAATAAGAAACGAAGGCTCAGAGAAATTAACTAGTGCAAGTGGCTGGGCTCAGATTTTACCTGGCTCTAACTCTGCCTCCGTGAGATATGCTCCTTTCAAGGAAGGTGTTTCCCCATCCTTTGGAACAACTCCATCTAGAACAGAAAAAGGAAAAGGTAAACTAATTCATCCTAAATTTAGAGGGAGGGCAAAGCTGTCATCCTCCCAAACTCAAGAGAAATAATGTAGTAATAAATAGTTTTTAATGGAATATATAAAATAGATTGTAAAGTACAAATAAGTTAATGATCCTGTTTAAATAATAGAATAGAATGTGAGCACCAAACAGACATTTATCACAGTCACTTTTTTTTATGAGAGCTCTCTACAAAGAACTTTTTAAATGATCAGTATGCACATCTGCTCCACATCTGTAGTTTCTCTGTCTGCAACTTTATGGCTGGTGGCAACAGTGAAATTACACCATCCCTTTTCACTGTAAGGCAAATCTAAGAGGCCTCCCCACTGACCACAATGTTAGGGAACAAAATGAAGGGAAAATGAGTGTCTGGGCATGGCATGAGGGCCTAGGGCAGTCTGCAGAAGACAAAATTGAGAAGCCAGAGAGAAAGTACCTATCATTTCAGTTGGCTGAGGCATCCTAGGCAACAGAGCTACAGATGTACTCTAGGATAAATAAATGTATAGTTGGTGATGCTGAGATTCCTGGTTAGAAGGCTCAATCCACCTGTGTAGACTATTCTATCTGTAATCGATCTGTTTCGTGATCATTTTTGTTCTCTTCTGTTTTGTTTTGCTTTGCTTTTTTGTTTTCTTTTCTTTTCTGAGACAGTCTCACTCTGTCGCCCCAACTGGAGTGCACTGATACCATCTCAGTTCATTGCAACTTCCGCCTCTGGGTCCAAGCAATTCTCCTGCCTCCGCCTTCCAAGTAGCTGGGACTACAGGTGTGCACCACCACACTTGGCTAATTTTTGTGTTTTTAGTAGAGACAGGGTTTCACCATGTTGGCCAAGCTGGTTTCAAACTCCTGACCTCAGATGAGCCTTGGCCTCCCAAAGTGCTGGGATTACAGGCGTGAGCCACCGTGCCTGGCCTATTTTTGCTATTGTTGCTGTTTTTTACTTTACTCTCCCAAATATGAGGTGATAATTATAATTATGTGTGTTCAGATTGAACAGTGAGTAAAGAATAATCAGGCCACATAATTAGATATGGACTCAACCCATAGAATACAGCAAAATGCTTCTTTGCTGTTTCTCTATGGCTGTTAAATCTATATTATATATTTAACATAAAAGACATCAATGTATATTTGCAAATCAATATAAATATGACCTGTATGGGAAGCAAAATAATGACCCCCGCCCCGAAAGATGTCCATATCCTAATGCTCAAAACCTATGAATATGTTAGGTTACTTGGCAAAAGTAAATGATAGTTACATATGGAATTAATGTTGCTAATCAGCTGACCTAAAGATGAGATTTTTCGGTTGGGCCCAATGTAATCGGAAGGGTCTTTATAAGATAAAAAGAAATGTAGAAGAGAAAGAGTTAAAGTAATGCTATGTGAGAAAGACTCAACTGACGATTGCTGGTGTTGAAGATGAAGGAGACCATGAAATTCAGGCAGCCTCTACAAGCCAGAAAAGGCAAGAAAACAGACTCTCCCTAGAGCCTCCAGAAAGTAACACATCCCTATTGACACCTTTATTTTTGTCTATATATTATTTACATATATATAATTGTACTTTAGGTTCTGGGGTACATGTGCAGAACATGCAGGGTTGTTGCAAAGGTACATACATGGCAATGTGGTTTGTTGCCTCCATCCCCCTGTCATCTATATCTGGCATTTCTCCCCATGTTATCCCTCCCCAACCTCCCTACCCTCCGCTGTCCCTCCCCTATTCCCCCACAACAGACCCCAGTATGTGATGCTTCCCTCCCTGTGTCCATGTGTTCTCATTGTTCAACACCCGCCTATGAGTGAGAACATGCAGACACCTTGATTTTAACCCAGTGAGACTCGTTTCAGACTTCTGACCTCCAATCCTATAACATAGTAAGTTGGTGGTGGTGTAAGCAACTGAGTTTGTGGTCTTTTGTTACAGCAGTTATAGGAAATTAATATACTCAGTATTCTAAAGCAAAATGTTAGTATAAAATTAGGAATAAATTGACCAATAAAAATGCTTATATTTTAGACATTGACACACGTATCATTGATTTACTGCATTCAAGCTTCACTAAAGAGATTGTTAGTTTGTTTGTTTGAAGGAAGAGAGGTAGGGGTAAGTTAAGGCGGAAATGTAGAGTGTTGATAAATGTTGAATGATGGGTGACTAGGGTTCGTTACACCATCCTATCTGCTTTTTTTTTTTCCTATCTGCTTTTCTGAATGTTTGAAAATGTTTGCAATAAATTTTTAAAACATTTTTCACTCCTCCCAATTAAATGACTTTCAAAAGCTACCATCTAAGCAAAGTCACTATATTAAATAAACACTGTATGTCTTTTTTCTAGAATAAAATGTGATCACTCGAGGTCAGGAGTTTGGGACCAGCCTGGCCAACATGGCAAAACTCAGTCTCTACTGAAAACACAAAAATTAGCCAGGCATGGTGGCAGGTGCCTGTAATCCCAGCTACTTAGGAGGTTAAGGCAGGAGAATCACTTGAAACTGGGAGGCCAAGTTTGCAGTGAGCCAAGATCATGCCACTGCACTCCAGCCTTGGCGACAAAGTGAGATTCTGTCTCCAAAAAAGAAAAATTTTTTTTTTCCAAAAGATGGTTTGCTAACAGAGTTAGAAGAAGTAAGATATATACTTCCTTTTGCCAAAGTGTTCTAAATAAAAATGATTATGATAAATTATTTTATTTTATTCTAAATAAAAATGAATATGATAACAACAACAAAAAAAGAATTTTCAATGTAAAAAAAAATGACAAAAGTCTAAATCTTTCTTTCTATGATTTAATCTGAAAGCCTGTGGTATTAATATATTTTCACCAGAAATTATTAAACCATGTTTTCATAGCAGATGATTTGTTTGCTGCCTAAATTTGAAAAGCAAAGCTGTTTGTGCCTACTCATAGGGAATTGTGTGTATATTTGTAGTTCTACTCAGCACAAAGAAATGCTTCTAGTGATAAGAGTAGAGCTAAAACAGAATACAATGCACTTGTATGATTAAAAACCAAAACATAAATATAGCCCTGCATCATGGAAAACACATAATGCTATTTTTGATAAGTGCAATATTTAATCCCATTTTTGCTAGCATTAGGCGAAAACTGATTTTCCCTCTAAAATCACGTGATGCATTCTGTTAGAGGTTAAAATGCAGACAAATTGTGAGACTGTTTCTATGATCCTAGCACTATAAATAATAGAAATTTGCCAAAGAATTCAATTAATTTTATTTCTTCATTGATGTAACCAAATAACCAGTAACACCAGTGACTATAGAGTAGATAGACATTCAAATTGTTTTATTATCGAATTGAGCAGCTTATTTTACAGGCTGGGAACATAAGGAATATTTAAAGTATATTGGCTTTCACAAGGAGTTTTGCATAGAAACATATCTAATGGGGATCACTAGAAGAAAAAACTCAGCCAGAAAGACATGCAGGAAGGCAGGAAGGCAGGAAGGCAGGAAGGCAGGAAGGCAGGAAGGCAGGAAGGCAGGAAGGAAGGAAGGAAGGAAGAAAGGGAAGGAAGGGAGAGCTCTGGAATTTTTCTTTTTTTTAAAATAAAATTCTAACTGAGGTTCTTAGTGCCCATATAATTTAGTATACATATATCTATTGTATATCATATTATACATAGTATTTGCATATTTTATACACATACACACTTGATTTTGCCTTTTCTTATGTCAATTAACAGCAATGTTTTTGTAAGAAATCAGAGTATCACACTAAAATGTTTATATTTAAAGTCCCTGTGGAAATCACATCTCCTGACTTGGTTTCACTTATTTAATGGAAAGTAGATTACAGATTCTATGAATCTTGAGCCATCATCTACACTGATGTCCTTAAAATACCTTTCTGTTCTTATAGACTTATAAATCATTATGCATTTAGAACCATGACATAAGTGTTATCTTCCAATCCTCAGAAAATATGACACCAAAAACTATCCAATATTTAAGTAATCACAGAAAATTTTTTACAAAGTCAACGTTTACCAGTTTATCTTTTTAACACTGCCACCAGCACAAGAAACAAGTTTTCCTTATATGTGATGTACGCGGCTTGAGCACTTGGCCTCTGATGTTCTTTGATGGAGAAGGAAAACAGTTGGTAATCATCATGTATATTACATACCTTCAAAAATGAGAAAACTGTTATTAGGTTACTTTTCTTCTCTGCTCCAAGAAAAGCAATTCCAATTTCATTAACTCTTTCTTATAAGTTCCATTTTCCAACCCTCTCATCAACATTCACAGTCTCTTCTGAATCTTTTCCAAATGTTAGAGTTCTCTTAAGATGTGGAGCTCCAAGTTGGAAAGTACAATCTTGTAAAAATTTGACCAATGCTGAGTAAGAGCAAGTACCATCTATTTATCCATCTGTCTATTTAAAGTTAAATGATCATGGAGGGTCTCCCAGCATAGACCATACGTGTTGGGTGTATTTTGGTGCAGCATGAACATCAAAGAGGGGGAAGCATGTCTGTTTTTGCCTCAAGCTCTTGGCTTCAGTAAGACCACACCTAAAAGAGTTCTTAAGACATATCTAAAGCCAAATAACAGACAATATCTTTTCTAAATAAAAGACAGAGGAACACTGCTGACTCTGAATCATTATTTTTGAGACCTCTTGTTTTAACATTTAACATAGTTAAATGTTAATTATCAAATTTCTCCGGCATGTGTGTGTGACTCATCAGAGTCTTCCTTATTCATGTATCTTTTGGCAGTCTTAAAATACAGAACATTTCTTTATGAAAACATATCAGTTTTATATGTTTTGTTTCATAAAAGAAGCCAAGTTGTCTAACTACACCAAGTGAGATTTTTCATATTCTTAGGTAGAAGCCCCATTCCATTTCTTCTTAAAATTGTCTACCCATTGTCCAGATTCTCACCCCCTTTGAATTGCCTTTTCTACTCATTCA